TCAAGAAGTTTTACTGTATTAAAAATTTTTATTTGACATACTAGAGGAGTGATTACATTCATCATTTGACATTCTCCATTAAGACAACGTGTATTACCATAACAATTCATTAAACATTTATGTCCTACGTAAATATATTGAAGATAATTTGTTGTACAATTTGATGAAAATTTCAATCGAAATCGAATAGAATTATTTTGTAATGAAAATAAATTAAATGAAATAGTTAAACGATAATATGTAATATTTTCATAATTAAATTTAATTGGTATAATTTCTAATTCATCATTATTAGAAATTTTCAACCATGTTAAACCAAAATTAATTGAATATTCAAGAATATTTTTTATAAAATTAATACAATTAAATTCAATTTGAAGAATATAATCTGAATTAAAATAAATATCTTTAGTTTCATAAATAATTTCATTAGTGGAATTTATTATATTAAGAAATGTTAAATTCCATTTTGTAGAATTTTTATCGTCTAATAAAAACCATTGTAAATGAGAATGAATATGAAATATATGAAATTGTTCTATTGACCATGAAGATCGACCAATAATTGGAGAATCTTGAATAAGTCGAAGTTGAAGAATATGTGGAGGTAATAATTTTATAATACTTATCAAAAAGAAAAAGAATCGAACAGTATAACTTCAAAACGATATATATATATATATATAACTTACTTTAATTGATGATCTTTGAATATATGTAGTGTAATCCATTGATGTGAATTTATTTGACGATATTGAAGACGTATCCAACCTTCACCATTTTTTCGACTAGATATTTTTGATATACATTGATCATCAAGTTCAATATGAACATATGTATGTTCATGATTTATATCTATATAATTTGTTTCAAATTCTCGTTTACATGTCTAATTAAAGAAATGTTACAGAAAACAAAAAACAAACATATCTTTCATAGAATTCTTACGTTATTAAAAATTATATTACATTTTGAATTATATGTAGTACCATAACTTGTATAATAAATATGTTTAAGAATATTCAATTCATTTGGAAAATGAATTAATGATCGACTACAATCATTATTTGTCCAATTTGGATTACATCTAAATACAATTAAAATAAAATATTTGTCATTGAATTTATAGAAATGTTTACCTGCATCGTCCATTACCAAGGCACATTCCATGACCATTACAAGCATTGATACAATTCGAACCTATATAGAAGTCTGATATGCCTATGATAAATTGTTCTTCAGTAGATGATATTTGCTCATCATCGAAACCAATACGAAAACGAACTTGATTTGATCTATTAGAATAGAAATAAAGTTTTTCTTTTCGCACTTTACTTATTCAACATGATCCTTAGTTTCGATATTCTTAACTTTCGTACGTATATTTAGATATTTGGCTTCGTCTAATAATTAACAATCGATAGTTTGATTTGACAAGAGAACAAGAACACTAGAATTTGATGTGAAAATTCGTACTCAACCACTCTGAGATTTTTTTATCGATTAATCATTCTCAGAAGAATACTAACGACAGAACGATGTCAATTGATCAATTGCTTTCTCACCAGAAACCACTGGGCTTTAGGTTCGCGATCCAATTATGAGCATGAGAAGCCTACCAAGTTCTTCATATGTTTGTTTTCCAGATTACGAATGTCAAAATCATTTTGTATCTGCTCAGATTGTAGAACATATCGAGCTATATGTATAAGACAATAATCTTTTCTATCACGCGATTAGTTGTTTTGATCCCAGTTCCGGGACTATATTGTCCATATCTATTTAGAATACATAAGGCGTGATCATATGACATTAGACTAGAACCCATCAGGTTGATCCGGAACTGAAAATTTCGGACTCAACGCATTCTACATTCGTATCTACTTGTAAGACAAGAATAGGAAATATTAGTTGACGCCCTACGAACGAATAATCTAAGATACTATCCATTAAAAATTTGTTTCTACTAAGTAATGATTAAATACATCAATCATTATCTTACCCGATCATCATTGATGTTAATTTCCAAGTAAAAATTTTCACTTGTCGAAGGTGATTCTCATCAAAAAATAATACATCATTAAAATCAATTGATTGCCAAGTATATCCATAATCAGATGAAAACGAAAATCGAATATCTAAATTATTCAATAACAAAAACAAATTTTTTCCATATATAAAATTAATTTGAATTTTTTGTAAAAGTATTATCATACTTATACAATGATTAAATGAAAGAGGAATAATAGCTAATTGAATATAAAATAAATTTTCGAAAATATCTAAATCATCAGTAATAATTTCATTGATTGTTAAATTTGATTTATCTAAAAGTAAAATACAAATTTTAACATTATTTATTTCTACATATGATTAATTATTACTTGTCGTTGGAAATATTAAATATGTTCCATTAAATATTCCATTACCAAATGAAATAAATAACTTTGAATCAATATTTTGTAATTGATCAAATTTTCCATAGATTACTTCTTGATAAATAATCGAACCACTAACAATAATCTATTTGATATAACAAAAAAAAGTCATACAATTTGAAATAAAAACTTTTGTTTCATACATGTTCTAATTTTAAACATTTTGAAGTATTCGATAGAAAAACAAATCGAATAAGAACATAATCATATCTCATTTCATCTAATAAATCTTCATGTATAATATAAGATTGATTTATATTTAAAATAATATATTTAAATAATTGCCAACTTAAACCCATATTACGAGAATATTCTAATGATATTATTTGAATATTTTGTTGACAATTCATATGAATATTAAATTCAATAAATCTAGATTTTATTCAAATGTTTATTTATTTTTTTCTATTAATTTAATTTATTTCTCTCTTTTTATTTACCTCGTTGAAATAAGATTTAATAATGGTAAAACAATAAGATCTGATAAACTATTATTAAATCTTTCAAAAAATGTTGTTTTTATTGATGATAATAAACAATTAGTTTTTTCTGAACAACGACATTTTCCATTACACAAATGTAATTCACATAAAACTTCACATTCAGATCGAATAGTAATATTTGTTATTTGCCAATGTGTTGCAATTGTTGAATTTGCAGCTAACCAACGTATACGAATAAATCTAAAGAAAAAAAAAACAGATGTTTAAAATTAGTATTTCAATTTTGATTATAATATTTATTTACTTAGATAATGATTGGTAAGCATATAATGGTAAAAAAAACGTCTTTTTAATTGCATGAAGTGGTTGAGTTATGATTATATCATTACTACGAGAAGCAATCGTTGATGGTCGATCAATAGATGACCAAGTTTGACCATAATCAATAGAAAATTCTAGATCAAATTGTGAACGATTTGGTGTTACGGACGAGCTAACCATACAACGACTAGAATCTAACTAAAAAAAAATATTTTAATTATATCAAATACTTAGGACATATCAAAAATTCTAGCTACGGTGTTTAAAGGATCTTTTCGGATATAAGAGGTCTATTGAGAAATGAAAAACCAAATATATCATGTTGAAGAGCTTTTTGAGACGCTTCGAATGGTATATAGTAAATGCTATTTTCACAAGAATTTAAAAGACTTGGAGTTAACTTACTGGTAGACGACTACACATTCACACTCAACCATAAGTTTCTAAATATTATGGTCCTTAGTATTAGTCGAAAGTATTTGTAAAATATTTTTTCTCACATACAATTTTGTAGATTTTTTGATGGGCTACAATCTTCTACATATAGCATCTTCGATCATCTTGTAAGTGTAGGTATGCAGTCGTCTATCAGTAAATTCACTCTAGGTCCTTCAAACTTCTATAAAAACAAGATTTACTATATACTATTTGACGTGCCTCAAAAAACCTCTACAACATGGTATATTTGTTTTTTTCATTTCTCAATAGGTCTCGTTATCCGAAAAGATCCTTTAAACAACCCCGTGACTAGAACTTTTTGTATGTCCTAAGTATTTAAATCAACATCTTACTTGAAATGTTAAAAATGTTGTTTCATTTAATTCAATGTCAATTGTTGAATAGATTTCAAGAGGAAATATATAATTTCTAAAATAATTAAATTAATAGAATAAGTTACAATCAAAAGAAGTGTTGAACTATAGGAGTGAAAATTTGAACTTCTTCTAGAACTCATTGGATTCGTCCCGACGAACTCTAGTTGTCTGAAAAATGTGTCGGGTGCAACAAACGTAAATTCCCTTCCCTCAAACCGGTATAGACGCTAGTCAAAGACCGTATATTTTGCAAAGATTCTACTAACAGCTTTTATTTATCATACTTATAATTGCAAATATTTTTTACTGAAGAACCATTATTAATCCATTGATTAGGTAATTTTTGTGGTATCATTTCAAATTTATTAAGTATCCAATTTGATGTCCATTCTATAGATGAATTTAGAAACTAGAAAAAGATCCTTTTTTTTCAAAAATTCGTATACTTGTTGTTACTCGTTGAAATAATCGAATACGAACTAAAGAAAGTTTCATTGCTTCATCCTTTGGTAATTCTATAAGCCAAGGTTTATACGGAAATTCTTGACGATATATTATAGTCATTAAATTTTTCCATAAAATGCCATTATTTAATGAAATTTGAACATGTATTGGATCAATAAATATTTGAGTTCGATTAAAACATGTATTCAATTCAATACGAATAGATTTTATACCGACTAGAGAAAATTCTGAACTGATTAAACCACGAGTACCTGCCTAATATGAAAATAAATAAATAAATAAATAAAAGAAATCATTTTCAAAATTTATACATTCGAAAAAACGTATCGTTCATCATTTATTGAACATTTTTCATATCCCCATACTTCTGACCAATTAGATAAATTTGCATTAAGTTGCATTGGTAATATTTCACCTTGTAAAACTATCAAAGGATCAGGTGAACAAAATGGTAGAACATAACCATGATTACATCTTATATTTATTACAATTTAGATCATGTTTATATAATTATTTGACTTACTGACATCCATTTGATTGACATAGACCATGACCAGAACAAAACCAAGGACAATTTGCACCAACATAAACTTTATTAATCATAAAATATGCATTTGATTGATTTGTTGTCCATCGAAAACGAACTTCTTGATTACTAATTTATATACAAACATATCAATAAAAATATTTTTATTATAATTAATTATTACTTACACATAATTATCTGGTATAGGAATTGTAATATTTCGTTGTTGTTGATATAATTGTGCAAGAAATAAAGTTCCAGTTAAAGAAATTTTATCTTCACAATACAAATTTGTTTGATTACATGAAGGTATTAATGATATCCAATTTGACCATCCATAAATAATATTTGAACTTATTTCAAGTATTAAATACCAATTTGTATTATTTGTTTTTTTTATTGGAAACATTTGTAAATCAAATTGAATTATTGAACTTGATTGAATTAATGGAAATTCCCATGTTTGAACTTCATAATTAATTTCGTTATTTTGTTCTATATGTAAATTATTTTCAAACCATAGATTCTCATCATTTTTTGTTCGAATACTAATTGAACGTAGATTCCACATTAAACATGAATAATCTTGTTTTTTTAACGAATATAAAAAGAAATGAAAAACAAAAAAAAGAAAAAAAAAATCTATTACCATTTTCTTCAATCCATCTTAAATAAATATTCATATTTATTGATAAATCATCAAATCGTTCAAAAATATTATTTGTTTCATCTAAAATTTTCTTTGTATACCATTGTATACCATTATCATATGAATATTGAAATAATATTTGATTTGAACAATTTGTTATATTAATATATTGTAAACCAAATTTAAATATAACATATCTTATGAAAGAAAAATTCATTTATATTAAATATATTATATAAGAAAAAAAATAAAAAAATATATACTTAATTGTTTTAAATGGACCAATTATAGCATAATTTTTTTGAGTATAATTATTAGGTAAAAAACATAAATATGGTGTTGTTTTACTTTGTCGATTATAACATCGATGTGTTAGTTGAACATGAGATGATATTGACCATATAGATGAATTTAATTTGTTTTCAAATGTTTCATATAAACTTGATAAAAGTAAACTATTTTGTAAACAATTTATTTCTATATTTAATATAATTATTTATTTATATTTTTTGAATATAATCGAATAAATATACCTGATGTTTGATTATTATCACATTGACATATAGCTTGTTCATTTTTCCAAAGACATTTCCCATATCCATAGCAATTAGCTGGACATGATGGACCAATATAAATATGATTTAAAGTAAATGAACGATCACTTTGAATTCGTATTAGAATTGAACTAGAATATATTATACGTTCATTGTAAAGGAATTAAAATAATTAGAGAACAATATCAATATAACATGTGCGAAAACTCACAATTCAATTCTTCTTAAGAACATATCACAAGTTTTTGCTACAAAATATTAAGCAGAAAAATTAGATAGATAATATACTGCGAGACTCTAATATATCCAACTTTCACAAATATAAAAGTCTATTTGAATCTATTCACTGAGTTTTAAACTAATGAAAATAACATAGACATAGCTCTATCGTTTGACCATGCTAATGAAACTTTTGTACCAATACTTGTCACATAAATGAATTGTTTTTTTTTTGAATAGAGACATAAATTATGGAAGCATGTGGAACATGACACTCGCCTCGTCTCCAGTGCTGAGTTACGCTTCTGTTTTTGAGCCAATGTTTTTGGGGCTCTCAGAATAATATGCAAAAGTTGACAAAAAAAAATGAGTCAATATAATTAAACTTTATTTCAATCTCAAGACGGATGAACGATGCATCAGGCTAATTTCAATAGAGCTCTTTGTTCGTATACATTGCGCCAATGTTTGTATTGAAATACTTAATTGAAATGAATTCCATTGTACATCATAAGAAACAACCCGTTAGCATCTTTGCACAAATCCAGAAGAAGAAAATGCTCAATTGTTCGGAAAAACAACTTTTGAAAGAGTTGGATATGTTGAAGACTCACAGTATTATTTATCTAATCTTTCTGTTAAATATTTTTGTAGCAAAACCTATGACACTTTCTTGTAAAGAATTCAGTCGTGAATTTCGTTAAAAAAAGATTAAGACTTAGCGATGAACTTTGTTCCCGATATTGAGAAAATACTTCTAAAGAAACATTTATTCATACGCATCCGTAACATATTCAATTTTTGTGAAAAACAAACACATTCATTAGAATAGATCAACATTCGTTTCGAACACACCGTCTTGTTTCATCAATATTCACCGTACTCGAATTGCAGAATTTAAGACATTCCATAGAATTTTTGTGGATACCTATGATCAAGCATAATTATATATCGAAGAAATTCAAGCCGCCTAGCAAGAAAAGAATTACTAAATTAGCTTGATTTGCTTGAATTCCTTAATTTCCAACATAATCTCAACTGCGAAAGCGCCTCCCACTGTTTGATGTCAAGTTCGTAATGGAAATCAAATAATTTAAAGAATTCAAAGAAATCTAGTATATGTTGCCGCTGAATTTTTTTATTATGTAGAACTCTATTGAATTGCCAATATCTAGATGGTTGGTATATCTTGTCAGTCATCTTCTCCTGTGGATCAAAATGAATTCGATTTTCTTCTCTAACTAGTTCGATTCTAAAAGTTTGTTTTACTACTGGTACTTGAAACTGATGTCAAATGAATTGATTTAACTATGCTAGAGATAAGAACTGAAAATTTACTTTTTAACTGTCTTAAAAATTATTAATGAATCAATTATGAGTTTACATTTATTACATTCTAAGTTCAAATTTTTTAAATTAAGCTTCTAATCATCACTATTATTGTTCAAATTTTCCTCTACTCTCATGTATTCAATTTCATTCAATCAATCAGTTCTAAACTTTTAATTAATATTGTAATCGAACCGAAGCCCTTTTTTAGCGACTTCCATAGTATTGACTTTCGATAGCAATTTTTACTTTTACAGACAGTCTATATACTAATTGGCATGATTAACACGTTCACATTATACTTAATAAGGATGACAACTATGAACAAATGTCCTTTCGGCAATGATTGAAAATCTACTGTGAAAGTCAGTACAACGAAGTTTCTGTTATCCTGTTGATCAGCAGGATCGTGCTGTTCTGTAGTCAAGTTCTAGCTCTAAAGTATTAGTTATTTATTTTTACAGCTCTATATAAATCTGAAACATCTTGATCTGATAATTTTAAGAAATATATAATCTTATAGATCCAACGAACCGCCGAAGAATTGTCGTTGGAATCTGTCCTCCAAAACGATTCATTTGTCGTTCAAAATTCTTTGTATCAATTAATTCATGCCAAGTAATATTATCAAGTGAATAATCAACTTGTAAACGTGTATTGTTCATATTGGAATTAGTCTAAAATATGATGAAAAGAAAAAAAAAATGTTTTCTCAATCTGTATTAATAATTAAACATACATCGATCATAATAACATAATTATGTTGTTTGAGAGTGATCGCTGTTGAAATTAATTGAAAAATATTATTAATTTTATTTGTATATAATCCTGATGAATTAATTGAGTACGTTGGATAAAGCCATTTCGATGAATCAATTTTCTAACAACACAAAAATAAAAATATATATTTTCAAAATAAAAAAAAAACACAATTATTATTTAAGTACTTTAAATTCATCCATAAAATAATATTGAATATGTGATTTGACAAATGCGACATTTAATAAGTGAATAGATGAATTTTTCCATCGAAATAATGTATGCTTTGCTTGACAAGAAGTAGACAATGATACATAATGATCTCTACAAACTCAAAAGACTTCTTTTGTTTTTTAAATAATTCTTTTTTCTTACTTTAATAAATTATCTTTTTCTTCTGTACATATTCCAAGTTCAAACCATTTAACACCTCCATTTGGTGAACATTCAAGCAAAAGATTATTTTTAATTATTGTAAGTGCTACTGTTTGAAAATGTATAGCGGATAGATCAGTTGAATCAATAAATGGCAAAAGTAGTTCATTATTAACCTGAATAGATCAATATTTGAAGTTTTTAAGCTGATATTAGAAGTATTAACTTCACATTAATGACTAGGCGAATCTTATTTTAATGCAAATATTAAAACTTTTTACATATTTATCTATAAATGGTGATCAAGAAGCATGTAAACTAGATCAATCATAAAATCATATATTTAAAAGACAAAACTCTCCACGCATTCGAGCATTTATCTTGTCTTTCGTGATATTATCCCTCACTTCATTTTATCGAGTGAAAAAACAGTTCGAACACTGTAAAAAAAAAATAAGTATAGAATAATGAACCCTTCACGTAACGGTTTATGAATACAGAAAACTGTACAAGGGTATATGAATTTGCAACGAGTCATAAAACCTTGACACAACTTATGAATGCGTAAGTGACGCTCGTAAATCTAAAATGGGTTTATGACAATGGTAATAAACGGATTTGATGGTATATTATTCTCCGCTTATTTTTCTACAATGAATAATCCGAACTTCAGAAAAAATAATAACCTGATATAGTCTGAACAAAGTTTATTTGCCTTCATTCGGAATATGATTCATAATTTTATCTGTTTGTTCATTATCATTCGAATCAAATAAAACTTATGATTTATTTAATGCAAAAATTTCAATAGTAATCAATGATATAGTTTAAACTTACTATATTTATTTTATATTTCATTAAACCATTTTCATTTAATGATAAATTTGTTAATTGATTGAAGAATTTTTGTTGTTCATATCTTAAAGAAAAACTTTCAAAAAAAAACCAAACTTCAACAAGAACTTTCTATCTTACAAACACATTCCTTCTAAACAAGTTCCATTAAACCAACAATTATTTTCACATTGTACACCAAAATGAATTAAATTTAAAGTAAATTTTTTTGTTGCTATAATTGTTAAATTTAATATAACATTTTTATACCATATTGATTGTGGAAGTGTAATAATTAATGTTAATGTTGAATTATCTGAATGATAAGAAACAATTTCCATATAATTAGAAAGATCAATTTGACTTGAATTTATTTGTAGATTAATCTAAAAAATTTATTCAAAAACAAAAACTAAAACAAAGAAGATATAATTATACGTCATCAAAATCAAATGATATTTTTGATTCTTTTCGTTGTATAAGTTCTAATTGAAAACTAAGAATATATCCTGGTCGAATATATGTTAATTTTGTTTGAAAATTTCTATTAGAAAAAAGAAAAACTTTTCTGAAAGAAAAATTATTATTATTATTATTATTTCATACTTAATATGTAGACTTTTTTTAATTGATTTTTTTGATATTACATCACGAATTGTAATATCATCAATAGCCCAAACATCTTGATTATTCCCACCATGTGTCATTTGTCTCCATTCAATAAGACAATTTTCATTTTCAATTTTTTCTTCAAATAAAATTCGACTAATTGTTCTACCAAAATACAAAAAAAAAACATTCAATAA